TAATATATTATATAATGTATTATATAATAATATATTATTATAATTACAATCATATTATTACTATAATACTTGAGTTTTTAGGATATCTTTTAGAACTAAGTATTTTTTGTGGCCGTCTTAAGAATTAGGGTAGTGTATAGAATTGAAAGATAAGGAAATAGGTGACTTACACCCTAGGAGCTAGGTAGAACAGACTTGATCTTTTAGTATATGAAGGCACAGGCATTTTAAATAACACCCAAAGGAACAGTGATGAAGTAGAATCACAAGTAGGATTTAGATTTCCTATTATTTTATTTGGTGTTCATCATATTCTAATACTGTACACTAGAAAAATTAATATAGATGACTTCAAAGTAAATATTCACCACAATGTGGACTGGTTTTATCTTTTGATCCAGTGATCACATATCTAGGATTTTATGTTTAAATATATGCATAATCTTATAAAATAAATTAAAAAATTATGAATGACAACACTGTAATAGCAGAATTGGAAATACTGTAAATATCCATTAAGAAGCTACATACATACAAGGGAATACCATGTCAGTATAAAAGAATGCAGAACTGTTTTATGATCTAATAGACAAAGATGTCAAAGGATTATTAAGTGAAAAAAAAAAAGCAATATGTACAGCAGGGTGCAGAATGCTACAATTCAAATTAAAAAAGTAAAAGTATTTCTGGAAGGATACATAAGAAACTGCTTACATATGTTGTCTGTAACAAGGAAAGGAAATGAATGGTGAAGGTATAAAATTTTTGTAACATAAATTCCATCTTCCCCCTTAAACAAATTCTAATCAAAATCATTTCAGTACATACTAAATTACTTGTCTGTTGTCCTAGGGGTTTGACTTGCGACTGGAACACACTCACTTTTTTAGTCATCATGGAGAAGGTGGACACTACCATTATGACACTACTCCAGATACAGTGGAATATCTTGGATACTTTTCACCAGCAGAGTTTCTCTATCGCATTGATCAACCAAAAGAGACCCATGGCTTTGGGAGAGATTAAATCAACTGATCCATGTTTAGAAAAAGAGGCGGTTAAGGTTAAATAACTAGCTCATTAAGGATACTAATATAAAATCTTAACAGTGTGGTGGTACACACCTATAATCCAGCACTCAGGAAGCTGAGGCAGGAGAATCACTGAATTGAGGCCAGCCTGGGCTACATAGTTAGTTCAAGGCCAGGTTGAGCTACATAGCAAGCCCCTGTCTCAAACAAACAAACAAACAAACAAAATGTAACAAATTACTACTTAAAACTTGTTTTTTTGGTCTTTCAAATATTTCACAGATCTTTCTAAAAGAGATTACTGGAAACACAGATACATAACTGATACCTTCATTTTCTTTTTTTACATACATACCTTTATTGAGCCAACTTCAGTTTTAAAAAATTCTATAGTATCAGCAAAGTCTACTGTATGTTTTTGCCTCAAATATCAACATGATCAACAATTACCTAATTATTTCTACTACGTGGTAATAACTTACATTTGTATAACATTATTAAAGTCTTCAAGTTAATCACACAATTGCTAAGTGAATTACTTTTGGTACAAGAAAAAAATCAATGTTTAAAGCCAGGCACAGTGGCGTGAGAGTGTGGTCCCAGCACTTCAGAGGGTGAGGTGGTGCCTTGTTACCAGGTAAGACTGGGGAGCTTCACCTGAGATTTGAGCAGCCCAAAAAAGAGACGCAGAGCTATGGGCTGGTAAACATCTTTTATGTAACTACGTAGCTACAGTCCATCTGGTAGCTGCTTTTGCAGCCCCCAGCCATGGTGTGTTTGTAGCAGTCCTCAGACCCCTGGCCAGTCTATTCTCACAGCAGTCCTTGGACTCTTTAGTGCCCCTTCTCACAGCAGTCCTCAGCTGGTTCGTCTACATTTATACCAAAATAATGTGCCAGAAACAACTTTGGTTATGTAAGTTATTTACACAGCCAGCACTGACCCAGGCTACAGAAGGTATTTATTTTGGTGTATGGGGCAGTGTGCCTGTGCTGGAACTTACTAACCCACTGTATCCTAGATTGCCTTCTCTTCACAGCCTGAACCGAAGTACTTCCATCTTGCACTTTCATGTTTCCCTACAAGTGGGAGGGTCTCTAGTATGTAGGAGTTCAAAATCAGCCTGGGCAACACAGTGAGATGCCTCAAAAGAAGTAAAAAAGAAAAAGTCAATGCTAAGAAATGCTGGCAGTTGTTCAGTCTTTATATTGACCTTTAAAAGTCCATTCTAAAAAAAAAGTATACTTTTTTCATGAAACAATCCTTTGGTGAGGTAATTATTCTTCAATTTGCAATTTGCCTTTCACAAACATCAGCAACAAGTTGGTTAGCCATGAGTCTTCCCTTGTTTTGACTGCCAACTGGAAGCAGTTTGTACTTTGTTGATTATTTGCAAGAATAGAAAAGAAATCAAATTACAACACAGTGCCTTTGGGGGCTACATCTATAATTCCAGCTACTTGAGTGGCTGAGGCAGGCAGATCACTTGAACCCAGGAGTTTGAAACCAGTTTGGGAAACATGATGAGACCTTAACTTAAAGTAAAAAACTGGTTCAGTGGTAGAGTTCAGTACCATGTATGGCAAGAAAAAATGTAATCTGACTTCTTCCATAGACATTTTATACCGGGAGTTAAGAGAAAATTTGATTAACATCTACACAAAGACCTGAAAGAGATGTGGGGAAGAACCCTAAAGTTATTTAATAAATATTTTTTTCTGGCAGATTCACAGGTCCAGTAGCAAGAGAGGATTTGATATGTTCAACAAATTTCAAGGAGGCAAAATAGGATCACTTGACAATGGAGTTAACATTCTAGTACATGCAAAAAAAAAAAAAAAAAAGTCTATACACATATATAACCTTTCTGGAAAAAGAATAAAACTTTTAAAATTAAAAGGAATGCTAAATACTGTAACAATACTCTCATAGAAGTATCAACGTTTTCAACTCTATAAATTTAACTCAATGCCAGTCTAATCCCATAGAACCTTATTAGATAGTTCCAGAAATGTTTAACCTAACAAAGGGCCAAGATAAAAATTTTTCAAGTCAAGGTCAGGGGGATTTGGTGTATAGATTCATAACTTACTATAAACTTACAAGTAAGGTATGGTTTTGGTCGTTATGGAGAATTTAGCCAAACAGAAAACTAAGGCCAGAAAAGATCCCTATATCCAGACTTCCTTTTTTTTTTTTCACAGAGGTGCCACTGCTGGTCGATGAGGAAATGAAAATGTACAGTACTCAAATAGTGCTGACATTACTAGTTGAATGGAATAATGAAATTGGACTGGACTCAATACCAGATAAAGACCTCAGCGCGAATGTCTTCACTTCTTCGGTATTCCTCAGCTTTCTGTCCTCCATCACTTTCAAACAACGTGTAACACAGACAGGAACCACCCGCGAGCTCTCCCGGCCTGCTGGGCTCCACCGGAAGCGCTCCCCGGCGGCCCCACCGGAAGCGCTCCCGGAGGCCCGCGGCGCCTGCTCAGGCCTAGCGTCGTTCCGGAGACAGAGGCAGGAACTTCGCTGCGCATTGTGGGAGCCCAGGCTTTGCTTCCGCCCGATCGCGGCGTCTGTGCTGCGTTTGTTCCTGGGCTCCGGGAGACCCGCTCTGCTCGCCGCGGAGGCGCGTCTGCTTCTCCCCCGGCTGTCCCCCCGCCCTCGCCGCCGGCATGTCTGGCGTGCGCGCTGTGCGCATCAGCATCGAGTCGGCCTGCGAGAAGCAGGTGCAGGAGGTGGGCCTGGATGGCACGGAGACGTACCTGCAGCCGCTGTCCATGTCGCAGAACCTGGCGCGGCTGGCCCAGCGTATCGACTTCAGCCAGGGCTCGGGCTCCGAGGAGGAGGAGGCGGCGGGGGCGGAGGGCGACTCGCAGGACTGGGCGGGCGCCGGGCCCGGTGCGGAGCAGGACGACGAGGAAGGTGGGGCGCCTGTCCCGGGCTGCCGGACGCGGGGCGGCGCGGGGTCCCCCCGGGGCGGGAGGCTCGGAGTGCGCCGGCGCGGCCCGGGCTGCAGGTCTGCGCTGGGGAACCGAACCCGTCCTGCCCTTAGTTTCGCCGACTTCGTCCGAGAAAAAGAATTTTCGGTACTGCTCAGGGAAGGGTTTGCTAAGCAAAAACTTAGAAGTGAGCTCAAAGCAACAGTGCGGTCCCTGAGAGGGGGAAAGGGCAGGGCGGGAGAGACAGACATTGTTCTGCGACTGGGAAACGTTTGTGCTTCTTTTGGGGGGATCCAGGAAAAGGTGACCCACGCGCTAGAACGGTACTGGGCCATTTTCAGGCACCCCTCCCCCCACCCCCCCGCCCCGAGTAATTTAAGCATTCTTTGAATTGTCTCAGCCTGTTCTGTAGTTCAGGTCAGGTTCCTACTCTTTACTTTCCCAAGCCGATTTGTAGACTTACAGCTCCTGAGGAGTGTGGTGTGTGATAGGTCTGGAAGGGAAAGAAGCCCGAGCTCAAGGCAGTGCCTGGCTGGCTCGCCTTGCCGAACTTTGACCGGGTGCCAGAAGTTGCAAAGTTAATAGTTTTCCGTTGTGATTTCCCTTGTCTCCTTTGTATTTATTTCCTCTATCCTACCTGGTGAGTACTTTGAAAATGCCAGCTTCATGCAGTAGTAGTTGTGTTCACTGTAGTCCTCATTACAGCCAGACAGTGCGGGACACTGCTTGACTGTTTCTTGTCCTCCTGTGATTCTTCTTGAGTGAGAGCGTTTGGAACATCGTCACTGGTGGAGTGTTTAGCTGTTTAATTGAACGCTTGTAACGAGGCGGACTTGATTAAGAGCTCAGTAGCCATGTCGAGGTTGTCCACATATTGGGTCCGTAGGGCGGGCGACTTGGTCTCGCTGTGCACTGCGGATGATGGGGGGCAGCGCCTACTGTAGGCGGTGTTGACTGGAATGTGAGATGAAGTGTAAGAGGTAGGCAGGAGGCAGATCGTGCAGAGTTTAAATGGGCTGTGATAAGCATTGGCTTTTATTAGAAGGATAACTGGAAGCTTTGGGGAGGGGATTTTAATTTTTTTTGTTTTATTTATTTATTTATTTATTTTGGAGACAGTCTCCCTTCGTAGCCCACGCTGGCCTTGAACTCACTGTGTAGCCCAGGCTGGCCTCAAACTCAAAGTGACCCTTCTGCCTCAACCTCTCAAGTTCTTAGATTACAGATGTGTGCCACCACACCGAGCTGGAAGAAATAATTTTTAAAATTTTGCATGACTTTGGAAGTAGAAGAGACCTGTTTAAGATAGGAAACAGACACAAAAGAAAAGATAGATACACTGATTATATAAAATTTAAAGATAATAGAGTAAAATAGTGTCGGACTGGAAGAAGTATTTGCAATGCAGAAGGGACAACTGGTTGATATCCTTGTTATTTGAAGAGTCTCTTCAAATTGAAGAAAAGTAACTGATGGGAAAAATAATTCAAAGGCATAAACAGCTCATAAAGAGAACACTTCAGATGGCAATTTATAAAAGTAATGTCAACTCAATCTCAGTAGTAGGGAAAGATAAATTGAAATATCAAGATGCCATTTTTATGCATAAAATTGGTAGATTTGAAAGATTGGTAATATCCAGAGTTGGGAATGTGAATTTGTAGCGTTTTTTGGAAGGCAGTTTAGCAGTTTAATATGTGTCAGAATTTTAAAGGTGCATCTCTTTTCATCCACTAACATTATACCTAAGTATTTAAGCTCCAGAAATGTCGTTCATCTACATGGGCATGTATTCAAGATGCTTACCACTACTAGCTTTGTAGGAGATGCTTTATTAAGAGTATCTGTTAATAGGAATGGATGAATATTGTACATCCATGTACCAGAATATCATATATGCACTGTTAGATGAATGAGGTAGATCTTATATACTGAGATGGAAGTGTCTCTGGGATATACTGAGGGAGGAAGGAGGGCAAGTAAAAAAAATGACAATATACATGTGTATGTAGGAAGACTTTTGAAAGGGGACATTTAACTGTTAATAGTGTTTATCTCTTGGGAGGGAGAGAATCAAGGGTAAGAATGAAGCAAAACTCACTTTTTATTTCTAATCATTTATAGATTGAACTCTATACAGTTAGCATGTATTTAAAAACTGAAAGAATTAAAAGGAAGACATCCAAATATGGATAACTCTTGCATAAAGGTTTCACTTATAGGAGAAACCCAAATTATAAATAGAGAGCAAAATAAAAAATCATAGGAAGTAGAGAGGTAGAGCTTTCTCAAATGAGAAGGGGATCAAGAGGTGTAGGGAGATGAAAGGAGAGGGAAAGGGGATGAGAAAAGGGATTAAGATTTGTTACTGTTCTAATGACAGATTTAACCTGTGAAGATTAGATATTCTATTTGTTTTACCTTAGTAGGACTGCTAATTTAAATGTTAGCAAAGATTCCAAAAAGAATGAGGGCAGTGGAGTAAAGAGGGGCAATTTAAAAGAACATTTATTATTTCTTCTTTTAGTAATGTTTGTCTTAGTTATTTTTCTTGTTGCTGAGACAAGATACCAGACACCTGAAGTTGAGGAGAAAAGATGTATTGTAACTCACAGTTTGTAGAGGTTTCAGTCCATAGTCAGATGGCTCCAAGGCAGGGTGGCATGGCAGATGGGCATCCCATTAGAGAAACAGTCCATGGCAAGCAGGCAGCGAAACAGCAGAAGCAGCAGTGTCAAACCTTTTTCCCTTTTATCCCACCCAGGCTACACACCTTCTGATTGGTGCCCCACATAACCAGGGTGGGTACCTTTAATCTCAGCATCACACCCTTAATCCACATTCACACACCCTAATCCAGCCACCTTTGAAACTCCCCACCTATGATCATATGAGGCTTTGAGGGGACATCTCGATATGAGTCATAACAGTATTTTAAACCTCTGAATGAGCCTGCTCCTTCTCCAGTCAATGTCAACTAATATTTGTGTTACTTTTCTTTTACTCCCCTCCTTCTAGGGTTGGTAAAATTTCAACCTTCCCTTTGGCCTTGGGACTCCGTGAGGAACAATTTAAGAAGTGCCTTAACAGAGATGTGTGTTCTCTATGATGTTCTCAGTATTGTTAGGGATAAAAAGTTTATGACTCTGGATCCTGTCTCTCAGGATGCACTTCCTCCAAAACAGGTATTTGTGAACTTTACTTGAATAGTAGTTTTTTATTAAGTCTCATTTTTTAGTTGTGCATGTAGTGGTCCCTTTTCCCTTCTTACGAAATGAAATGCAGATGAAGTTGTAAAAACTGACTGGTCCAAAGCAAAGGCACAGAACTACATCTGTGTCTTTCTGTGACCCTTTAAAGGTTCCCAAATCTTAACAGATTTTTATACCCTGGGTCATACTGCACAAAAGCAGAATGATATAATAGCTTTGGAGTTACATAAGCTGGGTTCAAATCCTGCCTCTGCCCTTACTAGCTGTGCGGCCATAAGCAAGTTCTCCTCTCTAAATCTCAGTTCTCCCTCTTTATTCCCGCTACCTTTTTTTTCGGGGACTGGTTTAGTTAGGTCAAATTGTGGAGCATTTTGAAAGATGGGTAGATTGTTGATATTTGTTAAAGAATATATTGGATAGTTCAATATTTAAAAATGAAAGAGAAGCAGCAGAATGAATTGGTGAATGAAGAGTCTGAATTCAAGGACTACTGAGAAGGTCCTTAGGAAAAAGGTAACAAATGAGTCATGGACAAAATGCAGTGATTGTTAGGACCCATTTGTAGATAAGATGAATTGAATATAATTACTCATATAGCACTAGGAATCTAGGAATACTGTGCTGAAGATGTCATAGAGTTCATTAAGTCTGCTTCCTTCGTTTTGCGGAGAAGAAACTCAGGCTCACAGAGATTTGTGATGTGCTCAGGTTGTAGTCGGGCCAGTAGTCAAGAGTGTCAGGACTGGACTTCAGCCATCTCACTCACAGCACACTACCTTTTCCACCATTCTGCTTTTCCTAAAAAGCAATCTCCAAGGATATAAGATCTCCAAGGACTTTGAATTAGGTTCCATAATACCTTCAAAAAATAATTGTGACATTTCTGTGAAGTTTTTATTGTGATTTAACTCTCATACAGGCAAAAAAAACCTTCCTGTATCAGACTTGGCTTTTTAGAACTGTGTCTACTGTTATTTAATAACACACATGTTAGTGATGATTGTGAATATATATTATATGCACTACATAGATTTTTATTTGTGATGAGTTTTAAAAGTCAGGATTCAGTGAAGAATATTTAATATTAATGCTGCATAATTTCAGCCTTAATTTCAAAAGTACTTCACTGAGTTGTGGTAACATAAAATAATCTTATACTCATTGAAGTCATTTATTTATTAAGTAAACGTTATGTACCAAGCCTTGTTGTAGTGTCCATGTATACAGTGCCTTCTGCCATTGTATCATTTACATTCATACGGTGATTAGAGACTTGAATCAGAAGAATAAGTGCTACAGAGTGTACACATGTGGATAGGAGCTGGGTTTACAACATGCAAGGAGAGAATGGCAGTGCATAAGAGGGGATCCTAAACTAGGCTTAGTAGAGTTGATGCAGTGGTGAAATTTGATTGTAGGCCATTGTGTTTTTGGTTTAACAGAAATCTATGTGACTTGGTCAAAGAAATAGCTTAAGGTTATTTACTTATGGCCGTGTTAGAGATACAAGGTTATTTTTAAAAAGCATTGTTATGTATACTTCACCCCCTTCTCTTTTCTTTAATTTTTTTAATTTTCTCTTGACTGCTTTGTTATTGAGAAAATTTGTAGTTTTAAAGCCATCTAAAAATAATACAGAACTGCTATTTTTGATGGTTTCTAATAGAATCCTCAGACATTGCAGCTGATATCTAAAAAGAAGTCACTTGCTGGAGCAGCACAAATCCTGCTGAAGGGGGCAGAAAGACTGACTAAATCAGTTACTGAAAATCAAGAAAACAAGCTACAAAGAGACTTCAATTCTGAGCTTTTGAGGTTGAGGCAACACTGGAAACTTAGAAAAGTTGGAGATAAAATTCTTGGCGATCTGAGCTACAGAAGTGCAGGTATAGATATTTGTTAAAAGCTATACTTTTTATAAGTATGTAGGGTTAATTGTAATGTTACACATCCTCCTATAGTGTATTGTTTCTCAGCTACTTGTTTGTTTCTTTGCTTTTTGAGACAAGGTCTTGCTGTGTAGGCCTAGAACTCACTGTGTAGACCAGGCTAGCCTCGAACTCACAGCAATCCTCCTGCCTCAGCTTCTCAAGTGCTAGGATTGCAGATGTGCCTCACCATACCTGGCATACTTGTTACATTTTGAAAATTTAATTTCTGTACACATAAACCAAAAGCATTCTTTGTCATATCCTGCAATAAATAGCCTAATTTTAATTTTAAAACAATTTAGGGGGCTGGGGATTTAGCTCAGTGGAACAGCACCTGTCTGGCAAGCGCAAGGTTGTGAGTTTGATTCTGGATACCAGAAAAAAACCAAAAAACAAAAAAACCAAAACAAAAAAACCAACAAAAAAAAGCTTTAGGTACATGTAACAGAAAGTTCAAAGATAAAGTATGTAAGGTTTACAGTTCAGTGGATTAAGAGCTTTGAGTGCCAAGAAATGAGATAAAGAGTCTTGGCTGGAAAAGTTGAGATAATAATACTGCAATGATATCTAAAAGAATTCATTTGCTAGAGCAAGCTATCATTACCCTACACTTAGAAGAGGGTACCTTGAGTGGTTAAGTACTGAAAAGTCTAAATGCCTCAGAATTGATTTGAATTGGGAAGTTTTGAATTCTGCAGGTAAAATCCCATTACAAAGATAAATTCAAGATAATAAAGCCATTTGTACATTTAAAAGGGGGTTGTAGAAGCATTGCTTTCTGATTTTAGACATTATTGAATTCTTTCCTACAAATAATTATGTGCAAATTATTTACCTAATTTCTATGTGGGACGATCACTCATGATTAGAAAAGAATTCAGCTTTTAACTACAAGCAAATCTTGAATATTTACCCTGTAGTAAACAGAAAGCAGTTACACTTAACTGCCCACTTCTCATAATAAACTTACCCAAACGTCTGAACTGCACAAAAACACATCACATGAAAGTCTTGGAACTAATTTGAGCAAAGGACGTTGTATACAGTTGTTTTTGTCTTTCTGTTGCTGGATTTAGAATGCCCCACTTATGTCCTGTTACAGAGGCTGAGCTCTGCAAATATTTCACACCTAGAATCACACCCATTTTTATCAAAACTCTATTGGAACACCCCTTGGATGATCCACAGAGTTACATTATTATTATACCAGTCCACTAAAGAGTTTTTTTAAGATACTAACTTTTTTCCCCCTTGCTCACCACTCTTCACCCCCTTCCCCCAGAATATCTAACATCTTTAGTGGGAATTTAATTTATAGTCAGTGATGTGGATGTGAAGTATTGTATACTTAGTAGTGTGTGTTAATGTAAACATTTTCTTTTCCTGTCTTTAATACCCCATTAGGATCTCTCTTTCCTCATCATGGCACATTTGAAGTAATAAAAAATACAGATATTGATCTGGATAAGAAGATACCGGAAGATTACTGTCCCCTTGATGTCCAAATTCCTAGTGATTTAGAGGGGTCTGCATATATAAAGGTATTTCACAAAGTATTTTTAAAAGTAATTTCTTATTAACCACCCAAAGCTAATTTGCTTTCAAAAATATTTTAATCATCTTACAGGTTTCCATTCAAAAACAAGCTCCAGACATAGGTGATCTTGGCACAGTTAACCTCTTCAAACGACCTTTCCCCAAATCTAAACCAGGTATAGTTATATTACTGCTTCTAAATTCTGGTTTTAACTTACATTTGAAAATAAAGCAGAGGTAAATATACATAGGAAAAATAGGTTACATTGGTTTCTTCACCTGTAAAGTGGAAGTCCTGAGAGAGTACCTGCTTTCGTACATTTAAGTGGTTGTGCAGAGTACTTAGTATTATTTAGCCTACTGCCTAGCTTAGAAAATTGTAGCTTTTGTGGTTATGATAACAAACCTTTCTCCCATGTCTTTCTATCCTCTTTCAAAGAAGAACATAGTTGGGTTCTAGTTAGGTGCTTTAGAGTAAGAACAATTGAAAATAATACTTTTGCCTTTTGAGACAGGGTCTCATTATGCAATTAAGGCTGACCTCCAACTCACAGTGATCCTCCTACCTTAGCCTCCCAAGTCCTGGATTATAGACATGTGCCACCATGCCCAGTGGAAATATTTTTTATAATTTAAAATAAACCATTAATGAAAAGCTGTACCAATTTTTTTTTTAATATTGAGCTTATTTAGTATATTTCTCTATGTAAACAAAGTGAGGTTTTCATATTTTAGGAAGAATATGCTGTAATACAGTGGTTTCTGAACTGATGTCTTATGGTCATCATTTAAGCTGGGTAGTATGTATTATGGTTAGATAACTGATACATGCATGTACCTCTTGTCTTTCAGGTTCCCCCCACTGGCAGACAAAATTAGAAGCAGCACAAAATGTTCTCTTGTGTAAAGAAATTTTTGCACAGCTCTCTCGGGAAGCTGTTCAAATTAAATCACAGATCCCTCACATTGTGGTGAAAAACCAGATTATCTCTCAGCCCTTTCCAAGTAAGAGCAGCCAACCCCTTGAGCCTTATAAACAAGACATTGTGCTTGGGGAAACGGGACAGAGTAGCTACTTGGGTGTGTGGAAGAATAACACAAGCAAAGAGGTGGTGTGCTATTCATAATGGCAGCTGGTAAAGCATGTCTCACAAGCTGTACTACTAATTCTGTTCTGAGTCCCAAATAGTATAACTCTTGGATTTTAAAACAGTGTATGTTAAAAATTTATACTAGGTATGGCTACTATTCAGCATGATTGCTTTGAAATGAGAGTTTTCAGGGATCCTGCCTATGTAATTTAAAAGTGCTTATTTGCAGTACTCCTAGATTTGTCAAAATTGGATTTTTATTGTTTGAAAGCAGTTAAACTTACCGTGGACATCAGGTTTCATATAGCTATGCTTTTTTTTTTTCTTTTGAGATGGTCGCTGTGTTGGTTTGGGGGTTATAAGTTGACCACCACTTGTCAATCCACCACAATCCACCCCTGGTCAACTTGATAACCATACACATTTCCTTAATCCATGGTTTCTAGTGGCAGATTTGTGAAAAGTTAATGTGTCTTAGTCTATTCACATTTATATTAATATTACAGTTATATATACACAATTTTCTTTTTGCATTGATTCCTGTACCAAAAGCAAAATATTTAAAGGGTGACCAAAATTCAAGGTTAAAACACAGTACTTTGATTAATTAACCTGATTACAAACATACATAAAAACAACATTAAAAACATTAAAAGAACTGTTATAATCACAGTCCTCACTTCCTGTTAATTTTTACAATGGCAAGACTAAAAAATAGGGGTCTCCTCCAATTCAAATACACTCTTATCTTCAAGTGAAAGGCTTCAGTTCATTTTCTCATTGTCCTGTTCTTAGCAATCACATTATCTTCTATTTCATCCTTGCAACCCAAAGCTCCATTAGAGCCACCCCTCTGGCCAAATATTTCATATCATACTACTGCCTTTTTGCTCTTAATTTCAAACACAGAGCTGGCCAAAAGCTCTCAACAGTAACCATGCCACCGCCCCAACAATAGACTGCATTGAAATTTTGTTTCTCCGACTAGCCAGTATCTCTAAACACAAGCAAAATGCAGACCAACTTCTGCCAAAGCAAAATATACTACCTGGGATCCAACAGCCAATACATCCTTCTCAGCTGAAACCAACTGAGCTTCATCATAATTGGCAGCATTTCCATGAGTATTTGACTTTCCAGGCTTCAACCAGAGTCTCCAATATGATTTGTAGCATACAGGGCTGCCTCTTTGGCCAGTCTCTCAAAACTTTTCCAAATTAATTGCAAAGGTTCTTAAGTCACATGGCCAGGCAACATCACAACAATAACCCCACTCTCCAGTGCCAATTTTGTGTTGGTTTGGGGGTTATAAGTTGACCACCAGTTGTCAATCCACCACAGTCACACTTTGTAGTTTATGCTGCCCTTGAACTTGCTGCAGCCTCTTGAGTGCTGGAATTATAAGCATCATACCTGGCTGCTTCTTTTGCAGTACTTGGGATTGAACCCAGGACCTTCACACTGAGCTACATCCCCAGCCCTTTGTATTTTTTTATTCTCAAACCAGAGTCTCACCAAGTTTCCCAGGCTGAGGTCAGACTTGTAGTCCTCCTGCCTCTGCCTCCCAGAGTGCTCAGAATACAGGCATGGAGCACCATTCCTAGCAAATGTTCTTTTTTTTTTAGCACACATTTTTAGGACTTCCTGCTTAAGTTTTGTCAAGGGAACAGGGAAGAGTATCTGTCTTCTACATGGTAAGACCAGCCTGAACTACATAGTGAGACCCTGTCTAAAAAAAGGAGAGAAAAAAATAAAAAGAATCAACATCAACAACAGCTAGGTGCTATGTAGTAAGATCAGATACCAATTTCATATTTAAAAAAATTAAGATACAGTTTCTGTTCATCCGTCTTCAGCCACAGCTTATGGTCGGCAGCTATCTTTTATGTTAGCTGAATTTGAATTGTTAAAGTACATAGACATTTATTACATTCATGAATGGTCGTTTTGTTATAAAAACATTAATTATGGTGCCTGATTTTCAAGTTTACAATATGTCTTTTGAGAGTGAGCTGAGATTATATTCTATGAAGATAGTCTGTGCTTGTCTATATTTTATGTTATTTGCCTCTGTCATTCTCTTTTTACGAATAGATTTACAGTTATCTATTTCTTTGTGCCATTCCTCAAATGATAAGAAGTCTCAAAAATCTGCTTCTGAGAAACAAAGTCCAGAAGACCACCTCTATGTTTTAGAGCATAATTTACATCTACTGATCAGAGAGGTAATGAAATAAATGTTGTTTGAGGTTCCCCTCCCCTTTTTTTTATATTGTGATAAGCTTATATAGGGCAGTGAATATGCACAAACCTCTGCCTCCTGTGGCTTGGTTATTCATACAGCAAGCACATTTACTACCTGCTCTGAAAAATCCTTGCTGTGTGCTGGGGAAAACAGAAATACTTAGAATACAAACCCTGTTTCCAAGTATTCTGTCTGGTGATAGAAAATATACTAGCCTCAAAGTAGGAGAGATCTAAGAAACACATGCTAAAGGATATGGTATAGTGGGGAGGGTGATTCTGATTGGAGGAAAATGTCCTGCCCTAAGGAGAGACATGAGGGAAAAAAATGTCTTTCCACACCTGTAAATGAAAAGGTTGAGTTACTTCAGGACATATTCCATTTCTAAGTCACTGAAGCTGTGTTTCTAGAGTGTGGATTCACAGTTTAGGCAAAGTTTAGAAGAATCTTGAGATATGGTTCCACTGATTGTGATGGTGTAAAAGCCACTGTTACTAAAAGTCTCTTTTAAGGGGGTTCTGATGGGCAGCCGGGTTTGGGAGTCTCGAATCTAGTATATAGTGGAATAGCTGTCTACTAATAGCATGTGTTCTCTTGATGAGACTCGATGAAGAATATTTGTTTTATTTATTTATTTTTCCAGTACCGGGAATCAAACTCACGACCTTGCACTTGCCAGGCAGGCGCTATGCCGCTGAGCTAAATCCCCAGCCCCTTGTTTTATTTTTAAAACTTTAAAAATTACAGCTCAAGAGGGGCCATTCTCTTTATGAATTTGCATTATGCATGATGTAGTGGATGCTATTATTTATCTCTGTGTCAAGACTGCTTTTACATGTAATTCAAATCCATTACTTTCAGTATTTCCAACATGTAAGCAGTGCCGTGATTAAATGTCCTCTGTTATTTCCTATATAAGCATAGGTCATTTAAAATAGCTGTTTCTGTTAGTTTCATAAACAGACCTTGAGTTCCATCATGATGCCACATCCAGCAAGTGCACCTTTTGGCCACAAGAGAATGAGACTTTCAGGTCCTCAAGCCTTTGATAAAAATGAAATTAACTCATTACAGTCCAGTGAAGGGCTTCTGGAAAAGATAATTAAACAAGCAAAGCATATTTTCCTGAGGAGTAGGTAAGGATAAAGAAAGTTGCAGTTTTTATTTGAAATTGAAGGGGATTTTTTTCCTGTATTTTTTCATGTATGTTATTTTTGGATGTTTTAGCCTTTTTTTCCAAGGAAAAGAAGGTGGCTATAGTATAAGTTTATGGTGGTAGACCGGGTCCTTTCCAGTAGGGAGAACCCTTAGATCTATGGCCAGTTTAACTTAATGTATTGTTTCTAACACTGCACTAAAATTTTGCAAAGATAGCTAAGAACATACTTTAAGATACCATACTTCTTTTGTTGTTCCTGGAGATTAAACCTTGTGATGTGCTCTGCCACTGAGCTGTATCCCTAGTCCCACACTTTTTTAGTGACCCATCCATAAGGTACTTATTCCTGAACTGATTTAAATCCTTTTGAATCTTCTGCAATTTTTGTTTGTTACATGCTTAAGGTCTAGAAGTCGCTTTCCTATACGTTGACACCATTTCTGCTTTTGTGGGGCAGATAGTATTAACTGTATTTTTACTGATGAGAAGATTGAAATTTAGGGAAGTTAGGCAAATTGTTCAAGGTTACACAACTAAAAGTAACAAAACTGGAATTTATGTCCAAGACTATGTAATTCCAAGTGGTTGTTTTTTGTTTTGTTTTTTTTTTTTAAATTTACATTGTTAACCTAACCCTAAGTAATCTTTCCTGAGTGGCACAAAAAGAATGGAGTTAAAAGGGAATAAGTTCATGATGAATTGTGATAATCAGGAGTGTGTGTGTTTTAACATGAATCTGAGACCACATCAGTGCCATGCCCAAGAGGTTCTCAGACCTCTACCGTACTTCACCATCTTTACTTTTCAAATGATGATATTGTTAAAAAGTAGGCATCATGTAGGTTCCAAAATTTTATAAAATTGCTGAATGCTTTAAGTCCTTCCATTTTAAATGGTGACTTTAAAATTTTTAACTTCTTTTCTTTTAAAGAACTGCTGCAACCATTGACAGCTTAGCAAGTCGCATTGAAGATCCTCAGATACAGGCTCATTGGTCAAATATCAATGATGTTTATGAGTCCAGTGTGAAAGTTTTAATCACGTCACAAGGTTATGAACAAATATGCAAGTAAGTGCAAAATTAAAAGCTGTGCATTCAGAATGTTAAGTTGCTTATTAATAAACACTTGTGTTTCCTAAGTGATTACATTAAGCTTTTGGTTTTTATTTACTAGGATGCCATAACGTCCCAGTAAATTTTATTAACTGTGAAGTGTTTGTAAGAACTGGAAGTAAGATTGTCTGAAATAGTCTTGATTAGGTACATATCACACACTTGCACTGCAGTGATGAATGAGCCCAGCACTGAACAGAAAGCTGCCCTGCGTTCTTAGATGCCAGTCTTCCTTGGCCTCACTTCGAGGGTGTGGCGAGTCCGCTGTATCTGAAGTAAGAAAGGCCGTTTATGTTAGAGCCTGCGCTCACCATGTTGTGCCTACAGCAGCCTAAGTACTGTGGCTCCCTCCTGACCTGTTGCTGATTCTAGATCTATCCAATTCATGATGGTGTCCTTTTAACCAAATTGATAGCTGTGTGTTTATGAAGTGGAAAAATGATTTTCATCGCAGCATTCTGAGAGATAGTCTTGACTTAAATTCACACATTGTGAGTTAATACAGTTAGCTAGAAACCATGAGAAGGTATTTTGAGTCTCTTTGGAATTTAATAGCTAGCCAGGCATGTGGCACACGCCTGTAATCTCAGCACTCGAGAGGCTGATGCAGGAGGATTGCTTCAAGTTCAAGGGCCAGCCTGAACTGCATAGTGAAACCTTGTCTCAAAAAGACAAAAAAAAAAAAAAGAAAGAAAGAAATTTAACAGCTAATGAGGTAGAGATGAGTCCCTTCCCCATTTAGTCTGGGAGAACCACCAGCAGACATTTGTCAGGGTCTGTGAGTACTTCGTTTTGCAAGTTGCAGATGCTTTGTTTCAGACAGACGTAACTAGCCACAGTGAGCTAGACCCAAGATGTCTAGACCCTAGACCAAAGCAGCTGGGATTCTGGTCACAGGACCCAGTGTGAATTCTGTGGAGAAAGTTTAGTAGTGATTTAACCTTGACAGGATTATCCTCATTTCATTTTATCCTATTTAGGGTTAAAAGTGGTTCTCAGGACACCCCAAGAACAATCATGTCAATAAGTTCATGCACGTCCGTCTAGGAAAGTCTGTGTGTTTATAAGCATTATATCCCACCCACATCCTTTTACTTTACACAGCTTTGTTTACTGTTTAAAAACTTGGGATATAGTTCATAAAACAAAATTTATAAGTCTGTGCTGTATAACCAGCACATTTCTATCACCCCAGAAGGAAACTATGCATATTAGTGGTCATTCTCAATTTATGTACTTTTTTACTCGGTAATACTATATTGGCAAAATAAACATTCTGCATCACCACATACAGATCTACCTCATTTTGCATGGATTGGGGGGGCTGGAGATTGAACTGAGGACCTTATTGCAGAGCTACCTCCCCAGCCCTGTTTTCATTTTTTTATTTTCAGATATGGTCTACATTGCTGTTTCTTGGGGTGGTTTTGCACTTGCAGTCCTCCTGCCTCGGACGTTCAGAGTGCTAGGGTTACAAACATGGGCACCACACCCAACTTCTCATTCTTGTTTAAATCCTTCTGTGTCCCATTATATGTTTTGAGATTTTTAATCTTTTATTGAGAATTATTGCTGGGTCAGGATGAGGACATTTCAGTTTTTTATTAATACTACAGAATTGTTCTTCTAAGTGATTGCCACAAGTATGCTGCCACCAATAGTGAGTGATAAGAATTCCTGTTCCTTCATCCTGTTGTTAAAAAAAAAATTTTAGCTAATCATCATAGCACAGGCCTTATTCCCCACACCTGGGAGGCAGAGGCGGGAAAAACAAGAGTTTGTGGCCAGCCTGGACTATGTTTTCTCAAAGAAAACAAAACAAAAAGCTTTTTAAAAGCTTGGCTAGAGCTGGGTGTGGTGGTGCATGCCTGTAATCCCAGCACTTGGGAAGCTGAGGCAGGAGGACCCTTGCGAGTTTGAGACCATCCTGGGCTATAAAGTGAGCTCAAGGCCAGCCTGAACTGTATAGCGAGACCCTGTCTCAGAAAGACAAAACAAGCAAACAAACAAGTTTGGTTAGAGTTAGTGTTTTCCTCTCAGTTCTGAGTTTGTATTTACTTTGAAAAAAGCAATTTAAAATATAATTCATCAGAATTGTGGCCTTTTATAAACCATTGTCAAAATGTTTTATCCCCAAGTATTTACTGCAAAACAAGTAAAAATGGGTATCAAATATGGAAAGATACAGTGGTAGTTTTCTTGCCTTTGTTCATCCAGGTTACTTGGTGTGGGGAATATAATTTCTTATACATGCTATATGATAAAAATTTTTAAGTTGTTTTGAAAGAGTACAATAGAATGAGGGCTATTTTATTGAATATTTTATGAGTTTTTTGACCTAGGAGAAGTTAATAGAGTGTTCTGACTTATTTGCTGATAATTTCAGAAGGAGTGGGTAAAGAATTAACTTTTTTCTGTAGAATTAGACTTACCTTTAACTAGCTGTAGTTCCTGGAAAAACTAATAAGGAAAGATTTTATTTGTATTACTATGCAACATGGCTTATGGTAAAAACGATCCCAAACCAGAAAAATGCGTCTAGATTGGGACAAGTTTTTACATACTGATTGGAGGCCTTTGGGCTTCCCTAAATGGAGTGACTTTTAAAACTGGGCACATCTTTTGAGGGACCCCTGGAAGCCATGCCTGTGGAGCTGGAGGAGCTCGTTGCTCCTGGAGAATGACGTTTCTAAGTCAAGACAGATCTCATATACCCACTAGGGGTCTCTCACGTGGAAGGAGCATGTTGCTCTGTAGGCAGGTGTGTGCCCTGCCGTGAGGACTCCCAGTGAAGAAAGGCATCTGGTAATGGTCGGCCGAGTGTGAACTGGTACTCAGTGCAATTGGGGCAGTCCACAGTGAGCCTGGCGGTTCAGTTGAACCTGGACCTCTCCTTTCCCCCATGAATGTTGGTGTAGGTTAGTAAAACTGCTCTTGTTTCTTGATGTTGAGGTTTAATGTTCGTGGCATTGTACAAGATCATTCTGAATTTCTGATTTTTGGAATATATCTATAAAGGTCCATTCAGCTTCAGTTGAATATTGGAGTTGAGCAAATCCGAGTTGTACACAGAGATGGAAGAGTAATTACACTGTCTCATCAGGAACAGGAGCTACAGGATTTTCTTCTGTCTCAGGTATTAGTTGCAGAGTATAATTCTCCTCTTTTCTGACTACAGGTCTTAAGCCCTTTTCTCACATAACTGCTTAAAGAACAAACTGAATAAGAAGTTAAAATGTAGTAAGTGAATTAAGAAGAAAACCTTTTTTTTTGCCATTTCATTTAACTACTGATACACATTTTGCAGCCTATTAGAAAACTGAAAGTATTATTAAACTGTTCTACATTTGTTTCCACCTATTTGGTGTTTAAGATGAAGCATCAGTCCTTTTTAAAAAAAAAATTAATTAAGCTTATTGGTACATTTTAGGTATAAATAATGGTCACATTTCTCATAGGGGTTTTGTACCTGTACATGATACGACTTGATTCTTGTTTTTTTTCCTTATTTTCCTACCCTCCCTTTACCCATTTCCCTCCTTACAAAAGTTTTGTTTCCATTTTTCCTCCTTTCCACATCTTTTCTTTTCCCTTCCTTCATTTCCCCCTCCCCCATCCCTAGTTCTCCTTTCCTTTTGAATAATTTCTTCCAATTTCACAATATCTACTAGACACTTTGGTCCTTATTTACACGTGTGGTTTCTCACATCAGCAAAACAACATGGCATTTAAACATGTATCCAACTTATTTCACTTAAGAAATGGTCTCAAGGTGTATCCGTTTAGCTATAAATGTCTCAAGTTTATCCTTCTTTATGGCAGTACTCCATTATATTAAAAAAACCACATCTTCTATATCCACTCATTGTTTAAAAGACATTTGGGCTGTTTCAAAGATTCAGCTATTACAAACTGGGCTGCTATAAACATGGGTGTGCATATATCACAGTGGTATGATGCTTTTATTTCTTTCAGGAAGATACCAAGAAGGGGAATATCTGCGTCAAATGGAACCTCTAGTCCTAGATTTTTGGGGAATTTCCACACTGATTTCTATAGTGTTTACACCAGTCTATACTCCCACAACAGTGGAGAAAGGTTCCTTTTACCCACAGCTCCGCCAGCATTTGTTACTGGTTGATTTCTTGATAATAGCCATTCTTTCTGGAATGAGATGGAGTCTCAGTGTTTTAATTTGTATCTCTCAAATGCCAGTTATGTTGAACATTTTTTCATATATTTAGTAGCTGATTCTGCTTCTTCATCTGAGAAGTATGTATTCCAGATGTTCATTGTTGGATTGGATCTTTAAATTTGAGGGGTCTGATTTTTTTGAGTTCTTTATATATTCTAGATAGTAGTCCTTTGTCTGAGATGTTTTCCCACCCTGTGGGTTGTCTCTTCATTTCTGTTGGTGGTTTTTCTTGCTGTGCAAAAGCTTTTTAATAAGATAAGATCCCAGTTGTTGATTCTTTGATACATTTCCCATGCAGTAGAGTTTTGTTCATGAAGTCTTTGCCTACACCAATGTCTTCCAGAGTTCTGCCTGTCCTATCTTCCAGAAGATTTAGTGTTTCAGCTTTAATACTTAGATCTTTGACAAAGGACCATTTCTGAGACGGGCAAGTGGAGAAAGAACATTCTTACGATTGTTAAAGTTTACAACCTCTCCAGGACTAGGAGTGGAGAACCATTAACCCAAGAAAAAGAGATCATATATATTGTCTGTAATAATAAGTGGAATATTTTAATTTTAGCCTTATGAAAGAGTTCCTTATAATAAAGGACAGTATAGAAAGTACTGGGCTGTAGTCCCTGTACTACCAAAAACTTACTCTGTGACATGGGACAGACTTTTGATGCTTTCTTTCCACATCTGTAAAATAAACTACTTTTCCTAACCTCTTCATGAAATTGTAATCTAGTGAATGCTGGCTTATGGTAGAAAGAGTAGGGTTTGGGGATGCTAATGTAAGATAGTATTTTTCTACTTAAGGTAAGGACACACACACACACACACACACAAAAAAAAAAAAAAATACTGCATCCCAGGAGCAATAATATTGTATACTCATTTCCTTTTGCTTCTTTGGTGCTAAATACTTTTAAAATATTTGTGCAGGATGGTAGCTTTTCGCTGATTACATTCTAAATGCTTTGATCAGCTTCAGCACACACAAAAAGTGCACTGAAATGTTACTGGATAGTTCCCTGAATCAATGGGCAGTCTAGAGGTACAGCTTGCAAATAGAAAGGGATCACAGGAATCTGGGGGAGTGGCAGTGTTGCTATCGTGGCATTGCTACCGTTACTGCTAGTGCAGAATGAGTTCAGTTAGGGTCTGAATAAGAACTAGGTGGTCCTCTCAAGAGGGTGTATTCTTGAGGGATCTGTCTACCAAGTTGTAAGTGTGAGAGAGCCACCAGGAATAGTGTGGTAGCCTATTATTTATAGTAAGCAGGTAACTAGGCTTCAAGGTCTTAGTAGTCACTAGTCCTAGGTCAAGGTTTAGGAGAGAAACAAATCATAGGAACCCTAACCAAGGGAGCCATGTATACTAGGACACCTTGAGAAGACCAGCAGCCTTTTGCCAAGAGATAGTCTAGATAAACTCACCGGGAAAGTACTGGGGGAGTAAGTATCCTCACTGTACACCCTTCCTTGCCACCTTTCTGGCTCCCATTCAGTATCCTCATTATTTGAGTGGATACCATTAGCTGAACAACCCTCAGCCTGAGGTATAAGGTGTTATTTAAGCCAACGGCTCAGCCTCTCAGGGCAGAGAAGATGGTAGAGACTGGATTTAAAGGGGCAAACGGAAGCTGCTCAGCACATACGCTACTTTTAGTGTTGCTCCACGTTCAGCCATCCAGGTGGGAGGCTGCAGCTGGCCGTTTAGGTCACTTGCCTGTGCTCACGCTGCCACTGGATGTGGGAAGCAGGCACCAGGCCGTGTTAGCTTCTGCAGTGGAAGATGGGATCTTGCTCCTTCTCCTTAAGTTGCCACATCGAGAATTCCTGAAATGGAAAGTGGGGTGTTGTTGTAGGCAGTGAAAACCCGAACAAAAGCTTAGCATTATGATATGAAATCACTGCAAAGTAGATGTCTGTGCTGTCAATCAAGTTTCCTTTCCATTCACAGATGTCGCAGCACCAAGTGCATGCAGTTCAGCAGCTCGCCAAGGTCATGGGCTGGCAGGTGCTCAGCTTCAGTAACCACGTGGGGCTGGGGCCCATCGAGAGCATCGGCAATGCCTCTGCCATAACTGTGGCCTCCCCAAGTGGAGACTATGCCATTTCAGGTACTTTGTGCTGCTTTGAAGAGGGCCAGTTGGGAGTTTGATTTTGGTTTTTTTTTTATTTATCTGTTTAAAGGTATGAAGGTTTTACATTTATTAAAGGTAGGAATGAAAGTCTGCTCTGCAGAGTGAGTGTGGGACAAGTAAAGGCAGGAAAAGAAGTGCACTGTGCAGTGTGAGGACAGACCACTGCGACAGTTTGATTTGACATGCAGCCTTAACGATAAAACTACATAGAATTCATTTATCTGCAGTGTTAACATACTTACATCGACGCTTCTCTGATTGTACTTAAATTTTGAAAAAGAAATTATTTTCTAGTAGTTACAAAAATGTTTGGCTAGTAGGTCCTTTGAAAAGTGGCATCCGCATTGTTAACTCTTTTAATGATTAAGCTTTTTTAAAAAATAAACTGCTATAAGCTGAGTGTAGAGGCACACACCTATAATCCCAGCACTCTGGGAGGCAGAGGCAGGAGGATTTTAAATTCTAGCCCAGCCTTGGCAATTTAGTGACATAGTGAGTCTGTCTCAAAATTTAAAAATAAATGAATAAATAAAAAAGAAAAGGCTGAGATGTACTGTGTCCCTCTTTGTCCCTCTCGCTTTCTGCCTGTGTGTGTTGAGGGGGGGACTGCTATAAACATGCAAAGAATAATATAGAGCAGAGAGGAGAGAAGTATTTTACTAAGCATCTACTATGAGTAGATCCTTTAATAAGCTATTGTTCATAATCTAGCTTAAATTTATGTTTTTAAGATTTACAGTTTTACTACCATTTTTTCTACTCTCTATTCTCAGTACTTTCAAATTGAAAAATTGGACAGTGAGAAGTATTTCCCCACAGGATCCCAGTTTAGGGCTCTGTAAGCCTGACCATTTCCAGGTCTTTATTGCTAAGAATTTCTTTTTTCTCTTTTGATGGTAGGAGTCAAACTAGGGTTTTGCACGTGCTAGATGTGCATTCTCCTATACTCACAGCCACTATGGCTGGGAATTTCAAAATACTTTTTTTCATTCCTGAGTAGTAGTTAAAACCTTATTAGTACAACCTGAAGTTCTTAAATTGGAATGATCTTTCTTTTATCCCTTCAAGTGCTGATTCTGAATGTTTGAGTTTTATTGTATATTCACCTGCATGTCAAATGATTGAATTATCAAATGAATGTATTTTTTTTTTTATTTTTGGTTTTTCTCCGGTACCGGGAACCGAACTCACGACCTTGCGCTTGTCAGGCAGGCGCTTTTGCCGCTGAGCTAAATCCCCAGCCCCAAATGAATGTATTTTAAAAATAAGTAGGTTGGCAGTCTGCGAGGCTGAGACAAGAAGATCACAAGTTTGAGCTTAGCCTGGGCAGCTTAGTTAGAGAGAACTTGTCTCAGAAAATTAGAAAGGCGGAGAATATAGCTCAGTGCAGAAGTGCTATATTCGGTCATCTGTAGGACCCCCAAAAGTAAGGTTATTTTCTGAAAATACAGGAATTTCCTAAGCCAAAATTCATCTTGCCTAATTTTTATAGTACAAATGATAGTTCAGAAATAATTTATATCAGCCTTGTATATAAATGAGAAAAATTTTGGATATTGAAAATGAAAAAGCACTCCTTTCGGGGGAGCAGTATAAGGGATCCTTGTAATGAGCTACATCCCTGCATCTTTTTTTATTGTTTATTCTGAGGCAGGGTCTCCCTGTGTTGCATAGACTGGACTTGAACTTGAAATGCTCCTGCCTCAGCTTCTCAGAGTGCTGAGATTATAGATGCACACCACCATGCCCAGCTTGAAAAACACTTTTTTGATAAGGTTGTTTCAGTTGGTGGACAGATAAGGTTTTTCACAGTAGAATGAAATTGTTGGATAAGTCCTGGTTATTTTCTAGTTTGCAGAATGTGAGTGTGTTGATATTTTTGTTTCTCTATAGTTCGTAATGGACCTGAAAGTGGCAGCAAGATTATGGTTCAGTTTCCCCGGAACCAGTGTAAAGACCTTCCGAAAAGTGACGTTTTACAGGATAGCAAGTGGAGTCATCTTCGTGGACCATTCAAGGAGGTCCAGTGGAGTAAGATGGAAGGTCGAAACTTTGTTTATAAAATGGAGCTGCTTATGTCTGCACTTAGCCCTTGTCTACTATAATTTTTGTAGAACAATTTCCAGGATTTTTTTTTTTTTCAGAGACATTTCAAGAAGCTTTGAATTGAATTAACTATAAGCACAAAGAATAAATCTTTTCAAGAAATATTGTCTTAAAAAAAATAATTAGGGCTGGTATGATGACGCACACTTGATTCCAGTACTTGTAAAATAGAGGCAGGAGTAACAAGACCAGCCTGGGCAACCTTATGAGTGAAATCAAGACTAGTTTGGACTACAAAGTGAGACTATGTCCAAAAAATCAAACAAGCAAAACAAAAAAAACTAACAATAGTAATTAATAAATTTTTACCTAGCTATTTGAAACTTTTCTCTTTATAAATGATAAGTACTTTGAAATACAGAGTTATGTACAGTTGTGGATGTACCATATGGGGAGATGTGAAATAGTACTTTTTTATACAGTTAACCTGAAAATGTTAGTAACTTATGAGTATGAATGTGCATTTTAAAATCTCTTTGATATATCAAATAAAGTGTATAGTTAAAAATCTTCCAAGTACTTCTGAACTCTTGACCCAGATGATTTGTGTCTTCAATCATGCATTCCACCATGTCTTTTTTTGTGGTACCGGGGATCAAACTCAGGAGCTTGTGCATGCCAGGTAGGTGCTTATGCCGGTGAGCTATAGCCCCAGCCCTCCACCGTTTCTTAAGAGAACACATAAGAACATTGAAACAGTTAGGGATAATGCTCAGTGGCACAGTCTCTGCCTTGTAAATACAAGGTCCTGAGTTTGATTCCTGGTGGGAAAAAAAAAACATTGAAACACTTACGACTAGCTTTCATACAGAAATTTACTTACACAAGCAAGCCAGGCCCTCTTGCTGAAGTGTAAGGAGAGCGGACTGGCCGAAGGAGCAGGTCCTACTCTGAATGAAGGACTCTGCAGGGTGATCCTTGTTAATGAAGTACCTCTTCACCAGGTGTCCTGTTGCCTGCCTCAGTCTAAACTAAAGAGGTAATTTAAGAGCCCCTCAGACGGGACAGGTGAAGGCACAGAAGAAGGCTTGCTCCTGTTTCTCAGTCTGTCTTCCTGCTTGAGTGACAGTGCATGCTCGTTCCAGCATCTCCACCCTGGCTGGATTGCCTCCTCCAGTTGAAGTCTTATCCGTTATCCCCATTTTCTTAAAGGGAGAAAAATTAATAGATTAGCAGTTGCCATTTCTAAGTAACTGTTTGTTCTTGGAAATAGCACCCTAGTCCTAAAGTATGCTTGAAGAAGTCCCATTAGTAAGAGATGTAGGCTTATGGGCCTTTCGGTATCATTGAAAATAGTACCATAGGGTAAGGTCTCCTTACAAGTAAAGCTTTCAATTTTTAAGGCGTTTTGCTTTAATGATTTGTAACTCCATAATAAAATCCCTTTTTCTTTCTCTTTCTGTTTAAGAGAAAAAAATTGAACTTTCTTTTAAAAAAAAAATCTGGATTGGAGATGTAGCTCAGTGGTAGCATGCCTTTCTAACACACGTGAGGCTCTAGATTCAATACTCAGTACAGAAAAAACCAAAACAAAACAAGGAAAAATCCTTGCACTTTTTTTTGCATCTTGGGCTGGTAGAAATTTTTATATTTGATACAATTCATTGGTAGAGCCCTCACCTAGCATGTGTGAGTCTCTGGCTTCCATTTGCAGTACTGAAAAATAAAAAAACTAAAACACCCGGACACAAATACTACATTTTTCTATCTGTGGAAATTGAAAAGAATTGGTGTAATCTGCAATTAGTTTAAAATCTAGTGCTTCAAATAGTATGGCCACAAAATTTGCCTTGCTAGTAGTATGACTACTCACACATTTTCCTTTTTTTTTTTGTTTTTTTTCCGGTACCGGGAATCAAACTCACGACCTCCCGCTTGCCAGGCGGGCGCTGTGCTGCTAAGCTAAATCCCCAGCTCCCTCACACAAGTTTTCCACATGACTTTGTGGGCTCATACTACTACAGTGAATACCACATTTTCATAGAAAGACCAGTTCTTGGTGTTTTTGTCTGAGGTTTTTTTTTTTTTTTGCAGGAGATTGAACCCAGAGCCTCTGCACCCTAGCCTCCGGCCCCCTTTTTTAAAAGGCAAATCATCCAAACAGTTTTGCTCATTAATATTCATAAATACACAGCTTCTTCAGAGATTCCAACTTTCTCTTTAGCCTGAATGTAGAATATTAGAAAGGCATGTCAAGGTATGGGAAGTAGAGATTACCCCTGCACTGCTACGTACATTAACCTGCTACAAGAAAAAATTAGTTAAGTGAAAATTGTTAGCCTATTTTCTCTTCCTTTTGATTTACATAATGTAACACGAGTAACATGTGAAATTACATTCACCAAACAAACCCAAGATGTTACCCATTTGCATTGGCAAATGCAGCACAGAGGATACAGCAAATTGGGATGTCATCCGAAAGGAGGTAGTAAAGGTTCATTTCCTTTAGGTTTTCTAAAGTAACACCTAATGGTATAATATCTACACAGCCATAGCACCAAAGTCTGTATCCCTCACCCCCACTCATCAGTGAAGGGCAAGCTCTCTGCGTGCACTAACGTGAACAGAAGGCACTCTTAGACAAACAGATTGCCTTCTACCCATTTGCTTTCCAGGAGTGGCATTCTAAGTTCTAGGATCTTTCAACCTAGCTAAAAGAACTCCAGCCCTTTTAAAATATTTTATTTTAGGGCTGGGGATATAGCTCAGTGGCACAAGCACCTGCCTGGCATGTGTGAGGTCCTGAGTTCAATTCCTGGTACCAAGGGGGAAAAAATTATTTTGCGACAGTCAGCAAATTGCCTAGGCTGGCCTCAATCCTGTGATCTTTCTGCTTCAACCTCCCAGAATACTGGGATTGCAGCTGTGGGCATGTTTCTGTTTTTGTTGTTTTTGTATCTATTTTAGATGGATGCTTTTGCAAGCTAATAAAAATTAATTACTAGAAAAATGAAAATTTAACCAGATGTGGTCATACGTGTCTGCAGTCTGAGCTATTCAGGAGGGTAAGGCAAGAGAATCACAAATTTGAGGCTAGCCTGGAAAACTTAGTTAGATGCAGTCTCAAAAAAATGGCTGGGGATGTAGTTCAGCGGCATGAATAAGGCCATGTTTAATCCCTACTGCTCAAAAGGTGGGGTGGAGGGAGTAGCTCAGGGCAAGGTCTTGTTCAACCCTTGGTACCGGTCCTTCAAAAAAATTTTTAAGATGTAAAAACACTTTTTATTTGATTTCATGTGCATAAAACTGCTATCAGATACTAAATTTTTGGAATGTTTGTTTCTAAGCTTATCCTGTCATGATTCAGTAATAGCTTATGGGTCAGCACCATACTTTTTTTGTTTTTTTTGTATCAGGGATTGAACTCAGGACCTTGCATTTGCCAGGTAAGCACTTGTGCCGCTGAGCTGTATTCCCAGCCCAGCACCATACTTTGATTAGAATGGGTAGGGGCCATTATTTTAAATTCCATCTGAGCAAAGTGGATAAGACTGCCAAGAGTGTAAGTCCTCCTTTCCCTGTTCAGTTATGTCACTGGCTAGGGGATAGCCATTACCCATCCAAAAAATTGTAGGAACTGAAACAAATGAAGGAGAAACAACAGCTTAGTTTTTTTACCAGGGACTCTTGTGCCTTGTGTTTATTTACATTTTCCAGTTCGATGTTCAGTCTGAATTACCTGGATCTGGAGGGACGTGTACCTAGGGAGACAGGAGAAAACCCTCCTTGACAGGTATTTACAGGCTGGTGAATGAGCTACATCTGGATTTTGGCTCTGTTACTTGCTAACTGTATGAGCCTGGCAAGGTTACCCTTGGCACCAGCTCCCTTGCGTATAATGGGGGGCAAAGACACCTTCTGAGCTAACCTCAAAGCTTTGCATAAGGTTGGTAATGAATGGTAATTTCTAACATGCTTTGCAAATAAAAAACATTAAGCAACTGTGATTCTAAGAATCAAGCAACTAGAAGTTTGAAAAACAGTTAAAACATCAAGTTCATGATCTGGAGGGAGCATTTTAGAATGTCCACTATTCCCATTTATAAATGTTTTATATATGCAGATCATGAGTGCTTTTGTGAATATAAAGACAGGTTTATTCCAGTTATTTTTTAAAGCCATGCTCGATGGCCTACCTCTCCCATTTATTTCTCCCTGCCTTTGTCTTTAGTTTGTTCAGTTTCACTTGCCTATTTCTGTTCTTTATTGAAGCCTGGTATATGTGGGGCTAACCATAAGTATTTGTTCTGCTTTCAGTAAACAAGAGCTGTATCTTTTGCTTCTCTGAAAATTGGGCACAAGAAACCAATGCCAGCTACGTAAACACTAAGGTAGCAAGAGCAAATGCTTCGCTTCTCCCAGTATTCCCTCCCAACTGTCAGACTTCGAGTTGCCGCCCTGGGAACCTGACTTCTCACATTTGGATCCTCACTCAGGCTGGGCTCTCTCTCCTACCTCCTTTTTTCTACCCATTGTTATATTTATCCAGCTGTTCTGAATAGTGTCCTTCCTCAGGCCTTGCTTCTACATTCCTGCATTGGACAGGACTGATCTCTCACTGCTTTGCTCTTCCCCTTTGTGTGGTATTGCTTCAAATCACAGTGAGGCTTGATGGTATTCACCATCTTGCATGGGCTTCAGAGGGTTGGGGTCTCTATTTTAGCTCTGCTTGCACACCCAGAACACCATGAAATGATAAAGAACAACATCTACCTTCTTGGGTTCTTAGATGATACTCTCTGAGAGTACACTGTTGATAAAGCACGTGTATTCTATAGGGCAACTTTTGCACCACTGAACTTGGTGGTACAACTGTTGCATCCTAGTCTTCAGCTTGTTCCACAATGAGAAAGGATCCTATGGAGATATATTCTGGAAGCACAAATTTCAAACTGGTTTTCTAGCTACAATACAGGGAAAATTGTATTAATAAGGTATTATTTTTGTGAATTGCTAAAAAGCATTTAGAACTAACGTGGTTAGTTCCATTGTCATTTAAAATGTGCCGAACCTTGGCTGTGGTTGAGGATTTCAGGTATCCTCAGCAGTGAGTGGAATCATCACCCAAAGAATTCTTGGCAGGATTGGGTTGACACAGAGACCAGGACTTTATATTCATGTTTTATTTCATTCATTTTTTACAAAAACAATTTTTTCACAGTTTGAAACAGCATAACTTTACATTGGCAATCTCTACGAGTTAATATTCTCTTTTTAAAAAACAAGACAAAAACAGCCTCTGGATTTTAAAGTTAAGAAGTTTTTAGAATGCACAAATAAAATCCTCTTTTCAAAGAAATGAAAACTTTGAGATTCTTTGGAAGCAATTTAATGTGCATCCGAATTTGCCCATGGAGGCTTCCTCTGCACATCCTTTTCCATTTCTTTTATGGTGAGCTTACTACCCCCCTGCTGCTGGCAAGCAGAGTTCTGGTGAGTTCTGCATGTGCTCCAGCAGCTACCCAGCTCCAAACCCATTTCATGCTGCTGGACTTTCTGCAAGAAAGAGGAGAAAGACAAAACCAAATCATCCTTGATCCCCCCTTTTTCTCAAGTACTCTTGCGCTTCACGTCACGTGTGCAAACTGCCTCGGCACACAATCAGGTTCCTCCGGCTGCTGCCTGTGGAGGAAGCATAGGCGTACATGTTTGCATGTGTGTACACAGGGTAAATATCGTCTATGTGTCAGGTGCCAGAGGTATGTGTCACTTGTATAGACTTTGTTCTTTAGCCTTTTTAATCAAGTATGGTAGTGCCTTTGGAGCCCTTCTCCAGATACTGCTACTTCCTGTCTGAATACTCCAAATGATCCCTGCCTGTAGCTTTGGTTTTGTTATTTAGGAAAAGATCTCAACAAAGTTCTCCAGAGAGCCCTTTACCTTCCGCACAGGAAACGGAAAAGATAAGGACACTGGGGACCTGAAAGGAAAGAGCAAGAAAGAAATATTCTAGCACTTCTTCACCTTTGCACATACAAATTTACAGCTGAGGCCTGGAAACACACGTAGTGACCACAACCTCCATCATAATCAGGGTGGTAACTTTGGTTGTAGCTATTGGAAAGAAAAGAGAGAAAGAAAAATAAATTCATGCCTGCTTTTAGAGCTTGCCAAATGGAAGCTGGGATGGCAAACTTGCAGGTAAACATTGTGACCAACAAACCCCAGCCAGAACCTAATTTCCACACTTAGCTGAAGCTACAATAACTCAGGTCATTTTAATCTCCAGTATTTGGGATAGCATTTTCCAGTACAGCTTTCCAGATCCTTTGAAGAGTTCTCATGCTTTTCTTAAATTGCTCAGAATGCTCTAGGCATACTGGGTGCTTCTCCTGATACCATACTGTGAGGTAGGCGATGCCCAAGTGTTCCTCAGCCCAAGTGGGGGAGAGAGCAAGGGCTTCGCTGGAGTCAGGAAGTGTTGGTGACAGACAGATCTGAAGCCCACGGTTACTGATGTGCCAGTTGTACCAACCACTCTTCAGGCTTAGTTTCCACAGGGGTATCGTTATGTAGCTTGTCAGGAGGCCAGAGTTGACATGAGCTTCATTTTCTTCACACTGCCCTAAGTTTGGGCCATGACAGGAAAATGCAACTAATCTCAGAAGAAGTGAGGAAGAGAAAGGATATTGTCCTTATTCCTTGTGTCCAAAGCCAGTCCCTCAGGAGTACATTGAGCTCCTCTCCCTAAAGCTCCAAACTACTAGGTCTCACCTCAGAGCAAATAGCTACAACACAACAGCTTTAAGACTCTTTACCTCTGGTTCTGAGGAAGCAGATTGTCTAAATGCCTCAGGTTTTCTCAGGAACTCCCACAGCACTGGTGGTGGGATTCAAGCAGGGGATTTGGAGGGTACAGCAGTGTGCAGAGCAGACAGGAGCACAAAGGCACGGAGAGTGTTCCAGTGCTGGCTGCACACAGGGACTCCTCCAACAGGCCATGCAGGGGCCAGAGCCAGTGTCATGAGCAACAATCAGTGCCTGCTCTGTGCCATTGGTTACAGGTTAGCATGTCCTGAAGCTGCAGCCAAGCAAAGCTCCGGTTGAAAGCCTCAGTCTCTTCTCCTGGAACTCAGTGCAAGTCCTAGAACTGATTTTGTCCAGTCCATGGTCTCCAACTCCATGCAGTCAACTGTGTTACCTTCAGGCTAGCCCATCAGGGATGGGTTGAATGGAAGGACTACAGGAAGCTGAAGAGCGACTTGGCTGTGTTTGTTCCTTTGGCTGGAAAATGTTTTCTTCTTGAGGTAGCAATGTAATTGGGCCCGGCCTTGGCTAACACTCAACATTTTGTAGCTCAATCTCCTCAGTTGTGCTTTCTGCAAAGCAAAAGACAAGTCAACGAATTGAAAATCAGCCACAAGGTGGTCTCTTTGTATGAATAAGATAACATGTGTCACCTGTGGCCTCAAAACCAGGAATAGATGATCACTAAGCCTAGAGGGTTACCTTTGAGTTTGTGTCTCCTCTTCCTCTGGAATTTGTATGCACACCTATTACAAACCCACATGAGGCTGATTAACACTGCAGCCACAGCAGCAAGTAAAGCAAGAAGCACAGCAACAAAGTGGAGGTCTTCATAGCGAATCTCTAGGGGTGATGGAGGGGAGAGGAAGGTAAGGTCTCTTTTGGAATCACAACATAGGCTACTCACACTCACAGTTCAGAGGGCCCTGGGGACTGCATCTGTCTTACCTGACACATGCAGCACGATGGTGCCAAACTGGCTACTCCCCACGTGCTCTGTCACAGTGATGACGTAGTAACCGGAGTCCCTCACACCCACACTGAAGAGCTGGATGGAGCCATTGTCAAAGGTGGAGACTCTGTCCTTGTGGCTTTCAGAGATGTTGGCCTGAGACCCTGGTTTCCATTCCACGATCTTCTGCGTGGCCCAGGTGGATGTGTACTTCCATTCAATGGTGGGCACCCCATGGCAGGAGTAGTCAACGGACAGCAGGATGTCTTCTTGTACAGTGGCATTGATAGTGGACTGAGGAATGTACAGTGACACACCCTGACCTGCAAGATGGGGCAGGAAATGTTGGGTACACTTACTTGAATTTAAGTCAACTCATTCAGTTCATTAGCTTATTTCACAAGCATTTGTTGAGTGCCTGTTTATGCCAGGCTGAGGTTCTGGTGATGATCCTGACCATAATGATGGACAAGACACAAGTTTCCCTGTGTCTAGTTTGCATTTAGGGGAGACACACTAGGGCTCAATAAGAACACAAGATAAGCTAGATAATGAGTGTGCTTTGAAGGTGGTGGACAATGGTAATAATGACCAATGAAGGTGATACCCAACATTAGATGGTCAGAGAAGACCTCACTAAGGAAGAGACATCTGAACAGAGACTAAAAGTCAAGGAAGGGGAGGAAGAGGCAGCCTTGCAAAGAGAAGGGAAGGGAAGAATAGCATTTCAAGTGGAGAAAACTGCGCATGGGCAGTCAGAGTGCTGGAACACTGGGGAGGCTTTTGGAACTGAGGTTAGGGAGCCAGACAGGAGCAGATGCACGACCTCAGAGATTCAAGGGCAGTGGGAAGCTACAGGATGGCTTAGGCAGCAGGGTGATGTTCCCTGTTAAACTGGGAAAGTGTGCCATGGAGAACATACTGGGGGTTGGGGGCAAGTGTGGAGCAGTCAGGTGGCTGCCAAAGGAGGTCAGGAACAGGGGTGGCAGCAGCGGAGATGAGTAAAGCACATTGCAGATATCCTGACACTTCTCCGAGAGTAATATTGTCTATCCCTGAAATTTAACTTTGGTGTACTATTTTCTAATATATGGTATATCTTCAAATTTCTGTAACATCCTTAAAATGACCTTTTCTGTTTCAGTGCAGACTCTAACAAACAAATTACTCGTGGCATTTGGTTGCCATGTCTTACAGTTTTCCTTTAGCAAAATTTCTCTACCTTTGGTGGGTAGTGAGCTTTCATGACAATATTTTAAAGAGTCCTATTCTGGATTTGTTTAGAATAAAGGCAAAAATACTGCAGAAGTGGTGTTTCCATGTTTCAGCACTTCAGGAGACAAATGCTGGGAGTCTGTGGGAAGCTGTGCTTGGAAGCTGTTAGGTTATTTGTGTGCCTTTTCTTTTCCCTTTTATTGCTAAGTCATCTGTGAAGTAATATTTAAAGACATATAACTACTCAGCAACAATGGGTACATAGATTTCAATATTTGCTGCTGAGCCTTCCCTATACCAGTTATTTCACAGATGGCTGCAAAATGATCATTTTGCAAATCTGTTCTAAATTTACTGGTGGCATTCTGTAAAGAAGAGCCATTTCTCTGTATATCTGTTCCTTTTTTTCCGTAGTGTCTGTAAAACTCATGGATTTTTTCTTATGATGTCACATTCTGTTACCATTTTTTTCTGAGTTATTCTATATTTGGCCAGTTGGAGCCTTTTCGGTACATTTACATGTTCTTTGAAATGTCTTATGTGTTTTTTTTTGTTGTTGTTTGTTTGTTTGTTTTAATTTCCTTGAACTGATTACACTTTAACAAGGACTCTCGTCTTCAAGCCAAAGAATGAAATTCTGGCACCGGAGCAGATTGGTGAGAACATCATTTTGGACAGTATTGTTTTTTCGTCCCATATTCACACCAGTTGGTGTGGCCAGTAGCCCACTTGTGAACCGCCTTGGGGGAGCAGCCCAGAAGAGAGTCATGGTCTTGAACTGTGCACACATAGGAGCTCAATCAGAGAACCTCCAGCCTTCCAAAGTAGAAGGGATCTTACTGGCGGATCTCCCTGCCAGTGTATGGAATCCAAGGGCTCAGCATTTAACTTCTGCCAGAACTCTTCCTTGCAGTGATAGTGTTCACTACCACAAGGCAACCTTTTTCTACTTGGGGAAGCTTGATTTAGAAGGTTGCCCCCTCTGTAGTGATGTGGACTACAGAAGTTGTATTCCAGTATATGAAGCCCTCCGGACCCTAAGGAGCATTCCCATGACTCCTTGGATCACATCTCATTTGGACCCCCTTCTTCCTCTCCTCCTTCCCTCTCTTCCCCCTTTTTCTCCTCTTATCCTCCTACCCTACTCTTCCTCCTCTACTGGGGTTTAAACCCAGGGCCTCATCACTGAGGTACAACCCTAGTTTTTTAAAAAAATTTTAGTGAGAACAAGGTCTCACTAAGTTGCCCAGGCTAGCCTTGGACTTGTAATCCTTCTGCCTCAATCTCTTGAGTATCTGGGATTACAGCAGTGTGCCACCCTGTCCAGAAGCACATAGTCTTCAACACAGAACAAAGTACAGACTTTAAGTCTCCTTGAATTAAAAAAAAAAAAAAAAAGGAGGACAAATTCCAGGTCAGCCCTTGGAGGGCAAGACTCATGTTTTTTTTCATCTTTCTGTCCCCTGTACCCAGCACAATGCTTGGTACATAATGATTGTTCAATAAATGTTTTCTGAGTAAATGAATAAGTACATGACCAAACATATATAGAAATAAGAAACATCAGCTGTCTCTTGACAGGAATGTTGCTGCTTCAGTGGTTTGAAAAAACAGATACATGTAAAAGCTACCATATTTAGAGGAAAGAACTATAATTTAAGGTTTTATATGCCAATCATTATGTCCTTTATAATCATTTTATTTTTTATGACTGTCAATAATATGATCACATAATAGTAATTGACAAATATAGATTTTCATGGTGGTTCTGCCTGGTTCCAAAGCCTATATCTCATCTATCTACCCATCTGTCTGTCTGTCTGTCTGTCTATCTATCTACCTACCTACCTACCTAATCTATCTATCTAGTCTATCTTCTATTTATCTATCTGTGTTCCTGGTTTTTCTGACCTCAAACACAGTTAGAATAGTGATTACTATAAAATTTAGAGATCTATATTTAGAACTAATCACAAATTTACATCATAATCTCTGTGCAATTCATGTGCAGTCTGCTAACTGTGTTGGTCAAGGTTACTGACAGACTCATATCCAACCATTTTTAAAAGCCTTAGGAGCTAGGATTGGTGGCTCATCCCTATAATCCCAGCACTGAGGATGCCTGAGGCAGGAGGATTGCCAATTTGTGTTCCACCAGGGCAACATCGAAAAAACAAAAAAGGACTGCAGATGTAGCTCAGTGGTAGAGCACCCCTGAGTTTGATCACCAGTACTTACTAAAAATCAGAGTTCTGCTCAGAATGTCCCCACCTATGCCTATCGCTTCCAGAGCTTTACCTATTTTATTTTCTGGTAGGTTAAGTGTTTTTGTTTTAACGCTTAGTTTTTTGATCCATTTTGATTTTAGTATAGTACATAGTGAAGGTTATGGGCCTAGATTGAATCTTCTGCATGTGGCTAGCCAGTTTTCCCATGTATTAAACTTTCCTCAAATGTATCTTTTTGGCTCCTTTGTCAAAGATCAAATAGTTGAATTTGCCTGAGGTTGTTTCTTCACACTCTCTTCTGTCCCACTGATCTTCATGACAGTGTTTGTGCATTTCTTTGTTGTCACCAGAGCTTTGTAACATAACTTCAAATCTGGGGCAGTGATGCTTCCCACTGTGCTCTTGTTGCCCAGGACTGCTTTTACTATTCTGGGTCTCTTCTGTTTCCATATGAATTTTGGGATTGTTTACTACAGTTCTATGAAAAATACTGTTGGTATTTTGATTGGGATTACATTACATTTGTATATCAATCCTGGAAGTATGGCCATTTTGACTATATTGGTTCTGTCTATCCAGGAGAAGGGGACATCTTTCTGATAGGACTGGCATTAATTCTTTACATGTTTGGTAGAATTTTCCAGTGAAGTCATCTGGTCCTATGCTTTTCCTTTTTGAGAGGTTCTTGATTAACAACTGTCTTAGTTACTTTTCTCTTGTTGCTGAGACAAAATACCCAACACCCAAAATGAAGGAAGGAAAGGTTTATTTAGCTTACAGTTTGTGGAGGTTTCAGTCCATACTTGGCTGGATCTGGGGCAGAGTGGCACATGGTAGAGGGCAAACGTTCATGGCAGCAGAACACAGCAAAGCAACAAGACCAAAGAGGGGAGTGGCAGCCGAACAGCAAACAGCCAGAGCAAAAGGGAGGAATGGCGGCAAGCAGCTTCTTTCCTTGCCTTACTTGGTAAACAGGCTACCCCCACCTAAGGGGTGTGTAGCTCTCACAAAATCTCCATGCCCTCCTCTTCCACAGGCTCAGGATGTATACAAAGTAAGCACCCTGGCTTCCTGCTGAGTTACTTAGGCAAACCTCTAGACTCCCCAAGTTGACACAATGTATCAACCATAGCAACAACTAAATCATTTTTATCATTATTAATATACTCAGATTTTCTTTTTCTTCATGATTCAGTTGTGGTAGGCTGTATGATTCTAGGAATCTATCCATTTCTTTACTGGTCTTTCAATTTGTTGACATATTGTTCAAAATAGTTTTTATGATCATTTGCATTTCTGTGCTGTTCTTTTTATTTAAAGTTTTGTTTGAGTATGTCTCTTTGTTTTTAACCTAGTAAAGGTTTTCAATTTTGTTTATCTTTCAAAAAATTAAAATCTTTTTTGTTTTTCTATCCTGATCTTTTGTTTTTCTATCCTCCATGTCACTTATTTCTGATGTTGTTGCCTCCTTCTATCTGCTAACTTTGGGCTTAGTTTGTTCTTCTTTTTCTAGTTCCTTGACATAAAGTTACATTGCTTACTTAACATCTTTATTTTTTCTTAATATAGGCATTTATAGCTGAATTTCCCTCTTAGAACTGCTTTTGTGACACCATAGATTTTCACATGTTGCCAGGCACAGTGACACATGTGTATATTTGCAACTACTCAGGGGCCTGAGGCAAGAGAATCACAAGTTTAAGGCCTGCTTGCACAGCTCATTGAGACACTGGCTCAAAATAAAATATTAAAAACCTGAGGGTGTAGCTCAACGGTAGAGGTTCAATCCTCAGTACTGGGTAGGAAAAGGATGTTGTGTTTTTTTGTTTGTTTCAAGATTTTTAAATTTCATTTTTGTTTCTTCTTTGATGCATTGGTTG